AAGGTCTTGAGCTTCTCGTCGACCTCCAACAGAGCTCGGGAAGAAACGAGGGCTGTTGCCCATGCCCCGACTCTCACTTCCTGCGTGCTATGGCCGCTGTTGCTACGTCGATAGATGAAGGCGACATTGGGAGGCATGGTTTTCGATTAAGGCCTGCCGCTCAGCATCCACACGGCTCCTCCTGATGCGAATCTGCATCATCTCCGTCAGAAGCTTGCAAATAGACTTCTGGAAATGCTTGGACAGCAGTGTACCGTACCAGGGCGGAACTCGTCCTCTCCATTTCCAAGGCCAGCTGCTGAGTTTTCTCATCACGCCGGCGTTCAAAGTCTGACTCGATCTGCCGGAGGATTTCCTCTGCGGGGCATGGCATGGACCGAACACACCTCGTGGCTCGTGGAACCAGTGCCGTCTTGCACACGCTGCAAGATTGCCGAATCGCCTGGTGCTCTTTTTCAAGCCGCTGTAGCTTCTCTTGGTGGTCGGCCTGGTCAGGATTGGTCCAATGCCCGTCATGATCGCCTCCTCACCTTTCCTTGATCTGCAGTCAGGAACATGACGTAGCGGGCAAATGGCGGCCCGAAACGTGCCTCAAGCTTCGCCCTTTGTGTCTCAAAAGCACTGTCGGCATCGGCCGTCGACGCCGGCACCGGCGCCTTGCATGACAACCGTTGCACATGGTTGCACATGCGGCTGCAGGCTATGAAATGCCACAGGTGCGTATATCAAACGTTGGATTTCGAACAAGTTGCGGCCTGCGGCTGTGTGGCTTGCGCTTTAGCCTCCGGACACAGAGGGTGGTGGAGAGGGTGGAAACCCAACAGTCTTGCCGCGCCAATGGTGAACTCGGAAATCGAACGCAGGAAATGCGAAGTACGAGTGAAGGATTGCATTAGCACTTGCAAAACGAAGCTCCTTCGGCTTGCAGTCAAACACAAGCCTCAGTGCCGCTTGCAATCTGAACTATTTCGACCAGGACGATTCTGAGATTGGATCAAGGCAAGCCTAGCTGTGGCAAAGCCTGCTATTCTAGGGTTTCAGACAACGACAAAGACCCCATCTCCCACCACCACCACTGCTGCTGCTGCTACTACTACTACTACTACTACTACTACTATTACTACTACTACTAATACTAATACTACCGCTACTACTGCTACTACTGCTACTGCTGCTGCTGCTGCTGCTGCTGCTGCTACTATTACTGCGTACCACTGGAACTAGAACTACAACACGACAACTACAACCACCGCCGCAACAGAAACAGAAAAGAAAGCTAGACTCTGCTGTAAGTCCTACTGTATTCCTGCTCCTGCTACCACCACAACCACGACAACGACTACTACGAAGACGACGTCGACTGCTACGTGGACTACTCGTCCTCCTCCTCCTGCTGCTCCTCCTGAGTGGTACCACCACTTACAGCTATGTAACTGTGTAAAAACAATGGCTGAAAGTCACATGATGCTGTTTCTGCTGCCGAGAAACTTATTCTTGCTGGGCTTGCCGAACAGCGACTCGCCAGGTTTGGGCAGGTCCTTCTCAAAGGTCGCGAGATGACAAAGGGTCTCAGACATGCGTCTTCCGCTGCCAGTCTCGAAGATACGTGGCAGCTCTGCACAGTCTGCACACTTACTGCGAGTATGTTCTAGCGCAGCGTCGCTCTCTTCAGCATTTTCGCTATGTGCAGAACTGCAGGCCAGCTAAGCGAGACTACACTAAGAGCAGGTCCATCTTTGGTGGGCCATCGAGGAGGTCAACACCTGAGGCTACGATTCCGCAGCGTAGGACGATGAAATCATGGATGCCATGGTTGGATCTTGCAGCCAGAATCATGATACAGTTGCAGAAAGCTCTGAAGGTGCGAGTAAGATGCGCACCTAACGAATCGCCTGAACCGCTCTTACGCTTCTTTTCCTTTTTGTCCTTCTTGTCCTTCCTGCCGTGGTGTGCCAGGACCGACAGCTAATTAATCACTTCCCCCTATTATTAAAGCCCCCCCTAATATGAAACTGCCGCCCCCCCCAAATTTTGCGGTTGCGGGCCCACAATTGAAAGTTGATTAAAAACATTAGGGGGGCCTAGGATTGTATGAGTTTTACTAGAGCCAAGACTACAGTAGTACTAAACCGACAGGACCAGGGCTGTAGGGTTTAGGGCTGAGGGCTTAGAGTTTAAGGTTTAAGGCTCTAGCGCGCAGGGGTCAAGGGCTTAATTAAGTAAGGTTCAGGGTTTAAGGCTTTAGAGCTTAGGGGTTAAGGGAAGAGGTTTGGCTAAAATGATTAAATAATTAATCCATTAGGAAGTGAGGGCTCATAACTACAGTCATGCCCGTGTGCGCCGGAAACCCCCCTAATATCAAAACCGAACCGCCGAAATCCAGTTT